GTGGTACAGCAATTGGTTACCATGCATGAGGCCCTGAGTCTGATTTCCAGGATGAAGAAGAAAGAAAAGGAAGGAGAAGGAGGGAAAAAAGGAGGAGGAGAAGGAGAGAAAAAGGAAACAGGGAGAAGGAGATGGAGACAGAGACGGAGAAGGAGGAGAGAAAAAGGAAAGAGGAGGAGAAGGAGAGGAAGACTATTGTAAAGCATGATGACTGGTCTTCTTCATTGCAGTCTCCTGTATTAATGCACTCTAATTTATATCATTATAAATTGAATTTATGTGTACAAGCTTTGGAATCCACAACCTTCTGTCCAGCCTGTGGCTCTTCCCCTACAGGGAGCACTTTGGCAAATTTCTAATTAAGTCAAATACAAGGATTAAATGAGATGATCCATATAAAGTCTTAGAAGATTTTCTAGTACTGTATATAGTAAGTACTCGGGCTAGTGCTCTTTAAAAAAAATTCCCTCATTGTTTCTTTAGAACAAACACCTGAACGTAGAACTTACTGAATCAAAGGGAATATAATTGTCAGGTCGGCTGGCATTAGCTACCAGTTCTCCTTCCTGAAAGGGAAAATCGACAAGATGAGAGTGTACAGGGTTGACCACAGCACACCCGTGCCACTGTAACATAATATTACCCATTTGAATCACTTCTAGGACAAAAACAAAAATGCCATCTAAAGGCTTTCTATTAGATTTACTTGGTCAGTATTAGATTGACTTGGCTGCGCCACTGAGCCAAATCCCTGGCCCCTCGGCCTTTGCTATTACAAAGAGTGCTGCAATGATAAACTTGGACCTGTTGTTCCACAATTCTGGCTGTGGTATTTGGGGTAGACTCCTATAACTGTGGTTGCTGGGTCAAAGGGAGAAGGTACCAGTATTTTGCTAGACATTGCAACATGACAGGCATTCTCCTCCACGGAGATTGTAAATATGTTGCTTGCATTGTTTTTGTGATCTCATTTCTATTCATATCACTTGCGTTTTTTCCTACTGTGTTTGTTCTTACAAATATGTAAGCTGTTTTATAAATTAGTGATATTAGCCCTCAATTTTATATACACTGCAAATTTTTTCATGTTGTAATTTACTGTTAATTTTTAAATTGTGTTTTTATTACCCTGAAGTTTAAACTGTTTAGCCATAGTCATTGTGCTTTCCCCTTGTGATTTCTCCTATTGCTTCTTGGTTTAGAAAGATAGCCCTATTCAAAGATTAAGATAAGTACTCCCCAGTATTTTTCTCCACTATTTGGTTGTATGGCTGCTATTATAACAGTTAACCCTTCCATTTGCTTGAAATCTGTTTTGGTAGATGCTATGTCATAAAACTGTGAATTTATTTCCCCTAAGTAGCTAGCCTATTTTCTGAGCGCTATACTCTCATCTCTACCTTCTAAGTATGCTCTTCCCTCTGAGTGGACCAGACCCCCTTTGGTGGCAGCAAAAGTACAGGAAGGCAATGTAGGAAGTGAAATGACCTGAGCCAGGATACCAGTGTCATCGCAGCTGAAGAAGGAGGCTTCTTCCTCATAGGGAAAGACTGGGGAAGGCGAAATGCCTGCTTTTCTTACAGTGACAAAGTCAGCAGGAGCGATAGCAGGTCCTCCTGTCCCAAGAAGCCCTCTGCGTTTCAGCACAACCCTGATGGTTTACAATCCAAGCCCAGCCCATTCTGTCTTCAGTCTTTGCCCATTGCACCAGTTGATCCTAAGTTTCTTCCCAAACCCAGAGAAGCTGGTTGGATGAGTTGTCTGTTTGAAATCACTGCTTACTTAATTTGAGTGTGGATTTTAGTACCTTTGGCACAGGAGGCGTCTGAAGCAAACAGATTTAAAGCCTGTACAGTTGATCTTCAGCTGGATCCTCTGCTATATGCATTCTTGGCTTATCTCATCCTATGGTTTCAAGAATGTACAAGCTAGCTGGGTGCAGTGGCCCATGCCTGTAATCTTAGCACTCTGGAAACTGGGGCAGGAAGATCAAGTCCCATTTGGACAACTTAGTGAGACCCTGTCTCAAAAAGTAAGTAAGTAAATAAATAAATAAATAAATAGGGCTTGGCTATAAATTACTGTGAAGGCCCTGGGTTCAATCCCCAGGGATGCAAAAGAGGAACCCTGCATTATTCAGCTTTCTGTCACTATAACAAAATACCTAAGACAATCAACTTATGCATAAAAAGGGTTATAGGTTTGTTTTGGCTCACAGTTGTGGAGGCTCCACTCCATTGCTGATTGGCCTCATTGCTTTGGGGCCTGTGAGGAGGTAGCATGTGATGGTGGGAACACACGGTGGAACAGGCTGCTGACCTCAATGCCTTAGGTTCAAAAGAGAGTGAGGAGAGAGCTGGGGCCTCACAGTCCCTTTGGAGCACACACCATGACCTAACAATGTCCCACTGTGCCCCCCCTTGAATGTTTCACAATTTCCCAATCATGCCGCCCCAGGGACCACACTTTAACATATGCGCCTCTGGGGGACATTGAACAGCCACACTGTGGCAAGGCCCCCATGCCTCCTCTTATCCGGCAGGTCTGTTTCTCTACATGCGCCCTCTGGATGCACTCAACATTTGGGTGGCGTGTTATGCTCCATATCTGAACATCTTTTTTTTAAAGCCTGTATAATTGAAAACTCAGGTTATATTTTAACACAACCTACTTCCTTCAAAGCACTATAGATATTACTACATTTTTGTCTCCTGGAGTTTAGTATTAGTTGTTTGCCTGTTCACAGAATCTCTGCCTGCACAGAATTTATAGTCCATGGAGAAAAAATAATTTATGATTAAGAGTGCAACATGGGACAACTTTAGTCTTAATTTTCATATTCTCTGCTGTTTCCATGACCTTTGGGCAAAGGCAAACATTTGGGCTCTGTCCATTCATGGGCAGTGGAAGTCATCCTGTGTCCTCTGCATCAGGGAAGGGCACAGCAATGAGACCCTGGGAGGAAGAATTCATTCTCTCTTGGCTCCACCCAAGAATAACCCTGGGCCAGTCCTGAGCCTTTTGTCTGGCCAAAAGGGTTACGGTCACTTGAGACAGTTCACAGCCTCTCCAAGAGGCACCACCGCCTTGGTGTACAGAGCTCCGCTCCTAGTACACGCATAGAGTGACACTTAAGGTGGCTGAGTCCCTGATCCTGAGAACTGGGTTTGATTTGTTTGGGGATAAAACTGTCTGAAGCAGGGAATCCGAGCTCTTCATATCTTTTCAGGCCTTTAATCCCAGTGCCAGGACTTTACTCACAGCACTTCATAAATCTGTAGACACTGAAATATCTTCTCCCCACCTGCCAATAATTTTGCCAAAACACATTTTTCATGAGGACTTTTCCTAGCTGAGATTTTCAGGGCCCTTTTTAAGGATGCAGTACCACGCACATTTAGCCGAGTACTTGTGGGTTTAGCTGACGAAGCTGAGATGTCCTTGTGCCTCCGATTCTTCTTTTGTAAAAGACAAGCTTGTTACAGTAGGATACTTAGGCTGACACAACCGAATATTTCCAAACAGCACAGATTTGATGGTTTCCAACAAAAAGAAATGATAACTGTCTCAGGTGATAGATACAGTGATTGCTTTGATGTGATCATTAGTATTGTACTCATACATTAAATATCACACTGTACCCCATGAATGTCTACATCTACTGTGTGTCAAAAATAAAATATATTTTTAAATGTTAGAAATAGCGTCTATCTCATAGCTTTGCTCTGAGAAATAATTCACACGCTCTTGCGTAGACCTGGCCCTAAGAGTACTGACATCGTCATGACTTTCTGCTTCAAGATGGAACAAAAAGGCCATATAAAATTGTTTGCAAATTCAAGCCAGATATCGTGTCACGCTGCTAGAAAATCGCTCATATTAATTCAGGCTCCTTGTTGCTTAGCGATGCAGGCTATTTGGACTGGTGTGTGTGTGTGTGTGTGTGTGTGTGTGTGTGTGTGTAGAAAGGCCTGGGTTCCCCCTCCCCCAGTTTCTGTGCCCTGTTCCCCAGATTTCCTTATCAAAGAGCCAGAGTTCCGCTGAGCTGTTGCACTACAGGGTGACCGGAGATAACAGTTGTGTACTGCATGCTTTAAAAACCTAGGAAAAAGCATTTTTGAATGTTTTCATCCTAAAGAAATGATAAACGTTTGAGGATATAGATGTGTTTAACCTGATTTGAACGTGACACCAAGTATACACGTATCGAAACATCACAGGGCACCCCGTTAATATGTACATTCTTTACGTCTTTATGTATGAGTTAGGATCGTTTATTTAAAATATTTTAAAAATAGAAAAAGAAAAGGATTCTGAGCCCATTGGAGACCTTGGCCGGCAGCCAGGCCGGTTTCTTCTCCTCGTCCTTTGTCAGGGCTTTGTTCCGCCCCTGGCCAACTCCGGGGGAGCCACTTAGTGGCTATTAAAGGCGGGCTGGGGGCGGGGCGGCG